AACGACCCCCGGCGGCGTACGTGTGACGTTTCGTCAATGTGTGCGCGACCCGCCGCACAGATGTGCCCCTCCGCCGAGGGCACGCTTTCTTTTATTTTATTGCCGGGGGTTAATGGAATAGTTTGCATGCCCTGAACAATCAACGCGCAGGAATATTACACATTCTTCTCTCGATCCTGAGGCAAGAACCACCGCCAACGTGGGGGAAAGAACGCGAATCTTGATAAAAACGTCCGAACGTTTGTTTTTGACAATATGAAATACATAATTGAGAGCAATTTTTTATTCGAGCAAAAAAAAAAAAATTTGAATTCACAGAATCGAGATTTTAAATTGATCGACGATAGATTTAAAAAAATTTAATGTCAAATTTGTTGTCAAGCACATATGAGTGGTTCACAAGATAAACGGTTCGATCAGTTAAATCTAATGCTGACTGTTCATTAAATATAATGCAGTGTCGGTATAATGCGCGACGACAGATTTTTTTTTCAGGCTCCCGGGTTTGCGCGCCGGAGCGCAGAAACGCGACTCAATGCGCACCAGGTGGAAAAAAAGATCTCGTCACTTACCAGAGCGCGGCACGTGAGATTGCAGATTTGTGAATCTCGAGCTGTCATTAATCGTCTTCCTTCGCAGCGATGCCCCTTCGTGCTCCGTGATGACACGCGCAAATCTGTCGCTAAATGACTTCTTCTTTAATTCGTGGCTGTTGGTTCACGCTAGTCCCGTTTTAAACCGAGACATCTACCAATACGTTACATTAACGTTTAATCGTGTATAAATAAAATTAAATATATATTTTTGGATTTTTCCATAATATATATTTTCAATTTTGACACGTTTTGAAAATATAATTAATCAGTTTTCTCTGATTCTTTAAATCGTAAATTACGGGGGCAAGTTGTTATTACTTGAATCCTTCGGGAGTTTCTTTGAGATCTCCTTATTAGAACGATACACGACGGGACCTCGACATCGGGCCCCGCATTTGTATAGGGTCCGCGTATAAGTGAATCGCGTCAAAGAGACGCTTCGCTTTTCAGCGAAGGCGGTCGTCTGTGAAACGTATTTAGCTTGTTGGTACACAGAACTCGACGGGTGAGGTACAAGACTCGCATTGTACACGCGTGCGAAAGCACTCACGTGCAACTATTTCAATTATCGAGAATTCGCTCGTCATTTTTGGTGACCTCGCCGAATCGCAAAAAGTCGATCATGGACAATTTAATTTGCGACAAATGAAAATGCAATACAGTGTAAAAAATTAAAAATATAAGTACAATTTAGTAGCCAATTTGTTTGTACGATTTAATTTCACAAGCTGAATAAAAAAATTAAACGAGTCAAGTTGATGATCTTTTTTTTTTTTTCGAATATAATTTTGAGACGTTTTTGTATAATAACTTTATAAATTTATTTTGAATTACTTTATCTTTCTGTTTGTCTTCTACTTGCGAATAGAAAGGGATTACTAGTGGTGTAATCCGCCACCTGCGTTTTGTATCATTAGAGGATTAAGGATCCTCATACGTGTTCCTTTCCACATGAAGATTTGTGCACTCTCGTGATCTCTCTCTCTCTCTCTCTCTTTTTCTCTCTCTTTTTACGCCGCGCTCACTGGCAAAGAGATCAAATTCCACTTGAAATCCCTCCCTCCGCGTGTGAGCTCTTCTCTAAAGACGATCCTTCAGAATCCGACAATGAGATTGAAGTCGTGGAGTGGAGAGAAAACAGAGTCAGACAAGCAGATGTGAGCCTCCATTCTCGACTTGTTATGTCAAAACACGAAACGACGTTTATAGGTGGTGTACGATGGAAAACGACGCGAGAACGTTCGGAAGAATAGAGAGAGGAGTGCAGAAGAGCGCCCTTTCTTCACGTCTGGAAGCGTAATTTATCGAGCGACGTGTGCTTCTCCGTGAAAAACGCGAGAAATTAGAATCTCTTGTGTCGCGCAAACACAACAGCGATCAATCGTCGATGCGTTATGTTGTAAAAACTAAGAAAATATAAACAAACTATGTTTTATTTAGATTTTCAGTAAAGTATTCTCAGAAAAAAAAAAGATGTTTTTTTTTTATTTATTGAAGTTTCTTAAAATACATTTAAAATTATCATAAGTGTAAATTATCCATTTTTTATTACTTGAAAATTACTTTTATTATTAATTTATTATTAATTTAATAAAATTTGTTGCGAGTAAACTTAGCCGTAACTTTTAAGATGATTATCCACAATCTGTCAAAATTTGATGATTTTTCTGTATTGACATTCAATTATCGCACGATCAGTGTCACCTTGATTTATACATATCGTGACTTTATGCTCTTCATTATATGCAAACTCACAACAACATCGATCCACTTGAGGGAATCTCGTCGGGCCCCGCAGAGGTCCCGGGTAAAGGCAAGGAAGAGAGAGTCATCAATTACGATTGGAAATAAATCGAAGGCAGATGCGACGATCGCCCGCAGGGCCCGTCGCGACAGGGGCGATTTCTCACCCCTCGCCAACCCCCCGCGGACAATACGACTGTTTTCGGCAAATACAAAACGATACACAAGCCGTGCGCCGATCGTCCGCACCCTCCGACGCGCGAATTCCCGACTCGTTTCCACTTTTGACATTTTTTCAAGTGTCTATTAGCATTCCAAATGAAAACGATTTTGTCCCAAATATTGTTTTTTTTTTTTTTTTAAATACGTTATTTTTTTAAGTTAGATTGGTGTACAACATTTTTTCTATTCTTCGATTTGTCAAGTTTATTTCGTATATCTTTGCGATAGCGTTTACGCTCAAAATTAATTGCAAGAAGACGTGGAATTTATCAACTCTGACTCTTATCTGTCAAGCCGTGTGGTTCCTGTTACCCTTACTTTAACAACTTAATGAAGAATAATCGGTCGTTGATAAGCCGTAACGAGGTACACGATAGCCTTTTATCTGTAGACCACAGGAAGCCAGCGGCGCCGATAAAAATCCTTTGCGAAGCCTTACACGAGACATGGAAATATCGTCGATTTAACACATTAAGCTTCATCCGTCAGACAGATATTGATCAACGTGTGTTACAAAATGTATATCGTGATCACCTTCAACAAGTGATGTTGTGTTCTTTGATTAAATTGTATATGATCACTTTATTATTTTTTTTTTTTAATAATTATGAAGTATTTTATTATTTTTATTAATTGGATTTAATGCATTATATAAATTCGTTATATTAATTCCAGTGTTGCGTCGCCTCTTCACGTATCGAATAATCGCGCTAAGTTACACCCTTGGAAAGCGATCACCCGATACTCTCTGTTAACGAACGAGTCGTCGCTGAATAACGTGTCCAAGGACTCCCTTCTCGTAGGGCTTCTTATAAGAATTCCTTCGCGCCGAATGCACGTCATCGATCGTGTTACACTCGCGCCGAGTTTCGCGAGTGGAAGAGAGCTCCGTCTCGTTTATCCCGGTCGGACCGGTTACTTCGTGTCCTTATTGGAAAAAACGATACTCGCCTCCCCAACGAATCTCGCGTTCGCTTCGCGTCCCATTTGAAACAATAAACAAATAGAGGGAGAGATCACGAATTCGATTTGAACGGATTCGAGATAACGCTACACTGCTGGATTGCGTTTCTCGCTTGCTTTGACGCAAACGGCGAGATATCTTTTCTTCGCACCTGTGCGCATATGTGCAAGATCGAAGTCTCTGATAGCATGCTCAAATTTTGATTTTTTAATCGTTAGAAGTGATTAATGGTGTAATTACACTCTTTCTAAAAAATATTTAAAACACACAAAAATGTAAAATATTAAAACACATTTTCTGACACTTTATTGCACAGCAAGTATATAAACGATTTTTTCTAGAAGACCGTTAAAAGCAAAATATATATTTCAATTGAAAAGATAATAATTTTATTTTTGTCAAAAGTCACTTTTCCGAGAAATGTTACGTTTCTGACACGTTACTTGAAGAATTGTATCCTGTCAAAATGCTGTCACGAAGATGACTTATTTTAGAATATCAAAATATACCACTACTGAACAAGATATTAAAAGTCGGGAGCTTGTCAAATTGGTCACACCAATAGTGATTTTGCCATTTTTGGGAAAGTTGCTGCCATATTGTTTGCCAGAACTCGGAACATTTTTGGTCGTTCAAGCGACCTACCTATCAGAAGTTCTTTTACGAAGACAAAACCTAAATGATTAATGATTAAATAGACGTTAAAGAAGACGGTTTACTTTGTCGCTCGTTTTGAAATTTCTGATGTCCCGCGGACTTCCTTAAAAAACCATACAAAGACGTGTTCGTTTTTACGTACAGTAGCCCCTCAATGCAACGGGACGACAGAGGAAAAAAGCGGCCCATCGTGTTCTCATGAAGACGTCTGTCGTATTCTTTTTTTCGAAACCGATCGCAAGCATTCCTTCATCGATTTGTATATACAAAGAAGAATAATATAATATTTTTTTTTTTAAATAAACAAGTATAAATAAATAAATAAATAAAACAATATAGGAGCAGAGATTGAACGGTATTATAATGTGCCTTAAAATTCTTTTTTTTTATATCACTTGGTATTATTATAAGCATACTTCGTATCGATGACAAAATCTCAATTGATTAAGTAATACACCAATATGATTGAAACATATATAGAAACTATATGTGTTCAATGTGATATCGTGATATATTCTCTACAGTTTTCTACGTGTAGAAATATTAATTCGACGTTAAAGAGGAGACAGGGTGTGCGAAACAAGTAAGGTCGAAGAATAATATGTCGATGACGCAAATGATATCTTTAATCTATAAACTCTTTACAAATATGTACAATAATATAACAAAAGATATATTCATGAGGATCACATTATTACTCAACCTAAAAAAAAAAAAGGTAAAACGTAAAGCAAGACGCAACGATTCATTGACTGACTCATCGTTACTCTCTCTTTCTCCATACGGCCCGCGCACGACATGACGATAGTGATTCACTCGCTTCGTCAATGACAAGCCGTATATACTCGTGTGACGTAATCATCATCATCATCATCATCATCATCATCATCATCATCACGATCGTTGTCTTCTCTTCGAACGCAACAGTCGTGAAGATCGCTCTCGCGAGCGAGAGGAGATGCGGCGGTCTTTCTCGTGCGCAGTGGAAGACAAATGGAGACGCAAAACTTACTTTTACGATCTCTGAGAAACTCGGAGATCCATATCCGGTAATATCTGATCGAGACACAATTGTTGTCCCCTTTGAGGGACATCGCGAATCGATAATGTTTTGTTTAAGTCTGTTAATTAAAATATTTTTTTCAATATTACGTTAAATAAATTAAAAAAAAAATTTAATGCTACATTTTTTTCGTCATGTGCTCTGTCGTGTTTTGTTCTGTAAAAATGATTCAATTATGATAAAATTAATGTGTCGTGCCGCGTTTCCCCTGATGCTCGCGAAAGTATCTGTTCTGCGGTCATATTTGTCCCACAGTAGATTTCACTAACCTCATCAATTTATGACAAGCTCATAAAACAATTACAGGATATGTCCAAAGTGAGCGTTTTTTTTTTTTTAATTCTCAAACGATCAGTCGAATGGAATGGGAAAAAAAAATGTTTCGCTCTTGTTCCTTCATAAACGCACACAGGTTTTAAAAAAAACTAAAGTAACAAATTTCCTGGTTGTTATGTAGTAGTCGAAAAGAAAGGCCGGAAAACTCTTTTTAGGAATCTCGATGGAGTTTGATTTAGATATCGAATCCAACATGCAATATTCAGAATCCAATATCCAACAGCAATTTCGATTCGGTATTCGTAAGAAAAGAAACCTCTCCTCAGCTTTTTTGTTCACGACTGTATAATTTTTGTTCGATATAACCACGATGCATCGATGTTTTTCCGAGAGGAAAAGTAGTTTCCTCTTTACAACAACAACTGCGCGTGTAAAAGAGGAAGCACAGCGTTTTTTCCTGCGAAAAGCATTAATGCATGCAGTGTATTGACGTCGTCCAAATATATTTACGTTCGTCGCAGAACAGACAAAAATCTATATTTCTCATCTTTACGATTGATTTCAACAACTCGAGACGCGGGAAAAGATCTTTTCGTCGTGTAGATCGAAAAAATCGCGTATTATCTTTGACAGTCTTCAAGACTGTTCGCAAGATTTTGGTTCGCGCCTCAGTAAGCCCGCAGTCGCACCTCCATCTCGGGGTCCTGGCGATGCGGCAGATGAGGCTCGATTCCTGTTGCGGTGGCGCCGGTCGCACCCGCGCCACCCACGTGCCGGCTATGATGACCGTGGTGATGATGGTGATGGCTAGCAGCATGGTGAGTGTCATGATGATAGTGGTGATTCAAATGAGGCGGTTGCGCCGCGGCCGCCGCTCCGGTACGAAAGACTCGCTGCTTCTCCTCAAACTCGCGCAGCCGTTGATTGTAGCGCTCCAATTGTTCCCGCAACAGTCTGTCTTCTTCGATGGCATTCTCTTCGTCATATTCTAAGCAACCGACGCCGTCCAGACGCTCCAAGTCAATCCAACCTCGCCACCTCACGCAAACGCCGTTCATGATCAAGTGCGAGCGCAAATGCACCTGCAAAAAACGACGCGACGGAACGCGTAACGTAAGTTTATCGCTCAATTGGACTTAATGGATTCGATGGATATGATCAGGATATCGGTTCGGATGTTCGTGGATTGAGAGAGTCGGACGGACAGCTTTCCAGCCTGATGAGTGGAATTTGCACAATTGGAGAGATACTGGATGTATTGTATATCTTGAGACGAAAAAGTGGTTTCATGTGATTGCACATTCTCATGCTGGGGACTCGGTAGGATTAATTGTGACGAAGGCTTTAAATTTTATTTAAAAATAGAACGATATTTCTTTAGTGATAAAAACTATTGTATCTTTATAAGCGTAGTTTAAACGGCATCAATTAGATTTTATTATCGTGATTAAAGTTGATGATTCAACATGCGCATTATTTGCCTTTCGTCGAAACACACGCGCGAGAAAGAACAACGAGGCGTGCCGATTTTTTATCTCAACTCGCGTCTCAGTTCGGTAACTTTTTAATTTTCTTTTTTCCAAATCTGTAGACGTGAATTGTTGCAGAGGAGGAGGACCATTACGAGCCACGACTCGCAAGTTTTCAATCACGCGCCTCGCTCTCTCGTGTCCGACAACGCTTCTTATTTCCGGAGAACGATTACGCAGATTGGAAGGTACGAGAGAGGCTCTGCGGTCTATCTCGAGAGATGAGATTGAAGAAGGTGGACGCTCTACCTGAGCGTTTCTCGTAAGAAATCAATTACGGGCACAAGAAACTTTCGCGTCGATATTCTTGCACAATTCTTTGCCGTAAAATCGCGACGACGTGCAACAGCGCGTTATTATCTCGCGTGATAGTTACTTCGAAGCTTGTTGCGAGCTTTATGGCAGATTAAACAATAATGAGCGGTCAAACTATTTTACAATATCTATAATACACCAAGACTACAAAAAATTTTTAATCTAAAAGCGCGTCTTTCTGTTTATATAAATTTAAAAAATTAAAAATTAATTTTCTGGTTGCTAGTTTATATAATGTAAGAAATAAAAGTAATGTAATGTTAAAGAGTGTTGAAAAGTTTAAATGATGTCAAGCTGCTTTTTTATTTAGTAGAAATGTGGACGTATACATATGTGACTGCACTATAATTCGGAAAGATCGTCAGGCGGTGTTTTCCGAGGAAACTCTTAACAGGCGGCTCTCGAAAAGCTACACACGATTATACCGGGTTCTGTGTGCCGACGACACGGTGTTATTTTATTTCTTGGAACCGACCCGACTTCCGGTCCCGTCGCAAAGCCCAGATATTATTACGAGGTCAAGAACGCTCGGGAAAAACCAGAACGAAACCGAGATCTTGATTTAAAAAGAACCGGCAACATACAATCAACAAAATAATTTAGAGAACAGATAGATTATTTTGTATATTATTCTCAAATTTTTTGTAATAATTTTCATAATATACAAGTATGATATTTACAATATATGTCAAATATATAATACCTATTATTAATATAAATTTTCCTCAATTTTTTCAAATAAATGAAAAGAGTTTGTATTTATCATAACTTTTTACAAAACTTCCATATATTTGTAACCCAATTAAATCGCTGTGAAATTCGAACGTGAAAACGACGTTACATCTCGTTACATTCTTTGACGTCGCAACTTACAGCTGCGCCGTCAACAATGCTCCACAGGATGCATTTTTATGCAGTAATAATCGAGCCACGGGGTGCGTTGACGCGGAGCGGCGGGATCTTAAACGTTCCCGATAATCGAATCGCTTATGGCCTTTGCCCTCAAAGGGCCCGATTGAAGTTTCCTTTTTTTTTTTTACTTCAAAATTTCGCGTTTTATTCCGTCCGTCATCTCTTTCAGACGATTAAAGTAACATACTACAATAATCGATTGAAATCAATTAAAGAATAAAAAAAATAAAAAAAAATGAAAAATCATCGTTTATATTTGCTATTAAATTATCTTGATATGTTTTTGCAAAGTAAAAACTGATAGAAATAGAAAAAAAACTACCGATGTACGCGTAGCAAATTGCGCCACGTATAGGATTAGATCTCGTAGCGGAAAGTTTTGCTGTCGCGCAACTTATGTATATTAATATGTCTCCAGGTATGTAGCGCGACGAAGTTATTATGCGTTAAATCACACGCGAAGTGCATATTAAGATAAGTATGAGACGTAAACACGGCAGCTGGAAAATACGTGCCGTGTCTTTCAGAATATATTCATGCGCACGTGCACTTCCTCGTGCGTTTCCACGTAAAAGCACATATTTTATAAACTTAAAAGATAACATTTAGCGTCAAATAAATTCTTCTAACGTCAGAAAAAAAAAATACGTTATTTCTCGGAAAACCGCACGTTTCAAATCGAAAACTAGCACATGTGTATAACCAGCGCTTTCGTATATTCGCAGCGCAATTATCTCGTATTATATACAAATCTGACATTGCTGGGAACGTGTGTGTATTCTGGGTGGCGACGAGAGCGCGACAAATAAGTCGCAAAAAGTCGACACGACGGCGAGAATTCAACGTGCGGACGACATATCGACCGACATCGTCATTAGTCATCGTCGTTTCGTTTTCTCACGGAGGAAGCACAGGAACAGCAAGAAAAACATTTATTTCTCATTCCTCCGCTGCTCCTCTCTTTAGACGGGCGTGACGACCGTCGCAATATAATAGTCAGCGATATTTAAACTGTAACGCGCGCGCGACGCGCAACCCTTTCCTCATTTGCATTTCGCGCGGAAAGAAAACCGAGGTGAAAAAAAAAAAAAATTAAACACGGAGCGGGGCAGTGCCGAGATTGCCGCGGGAGAAAAGGGTGAAAAATTGACGGCGACGAGTCCGAAACAAACGACCGGCTATTTCACGCCTTTTGTTTTTCGGTGGGCGTCGCCGCCCGGCGCCTTTTTTTGCGTTGGGTCCACTTATATAATGGCGCGCGAACGCGAAACATTCGTCAACGATATCCCGACCGTAAGGAACAACGGGGGGACATACGGTCTGCGCCTCGTCTTTTGTCTCTCGTCCGGGGTCCAGTCCTGTGTGTTTGAATTTTACGACGCACAGGATGCAACTCGCTTTCTAATCCAGTTTCCAAACTATAAATTTTGTCGTTTTTTTTTTTTTTGGCTGCCGGATACTCGCTGCAGTCATCTTGGACAGTGACAAAAGCGAAGTAAAAATAAAGAAATTTAATTTTTGTTAGTTCTACGTGCCAATCATCCGTGCTTAGTTTTTGACGGTCTTTTAATTCGACATCGTAAGAACCTTTCTAATATTCAAATTTAAAGCTCTCTAATTTCAGTTAAACGTAGCTTCAGTAAAATCTTTTATTTCCTTTTCGAGCAATCACAGTGTAATCATTACGGCGAACAGCGATCGGAAGATTAAAGGTTCGTTATCGCGGCGCTGCACACGCTCTCTTTATCTACATCTTGATCGCGAGTCGCTCCTTTAATTATTGCGTCGCGCAACGGGGCACACCGGCGCGCACAATGAACACGTGTGGTCGCGCGCCGCTCTTTATTCTCTCCGCTCATTGTCGATTAAAACAAAACGAAATCCGCGGGTCGTCCCGTAAACAACGCGCCACGCGCTCCAAGCCCGGAATTTAATGATTCGTTTCCGATTTATTTCGTCTGTCTTGTTAAAAAAGAACTTGGTATGAAAGAAACTGCGAGAAACTACGAGCGGAGCAAATAATTATCGGAGTAGAGATGACAAACAATAGCAATAAGCAATAGAAAATATTTTTTAAATGTTTTTTCATATGATTTGCGTAAAATAGAATTTTTCTGGAAAGTAAACCGATTTTGAAAAATTGCGAGACAAAGCGACGTAATTAAGCGATTCGGAAGAACATTCGCGAAAAGATGAGCGCGCGCGCGCACTTTGCAAAATGGCGTCGCGACGACGCGGCTATTGATCGCGATGGCGACGTCGAGAGGCGTCGGCCCTGGCGCCGGCGTAATAAGAAAGAAGTGTCATCGAAACGAAAGTTTTTTTTTTTTTTTTTGAAGAAAAACACCATCATCGTTACATCGTTACTTCAAGAAACGAAACCGCATATTTTCACAAAAAATCCGAGATCCATTATGACGAAACAGCTCTTGCGGACTCTTCGCACGCAATTAATCAATCGCGTTACGTCTAAATCGACCGTTCTGACGTCGAACGTGTTGGAACAGAAATACATCCGGAAAAATAAATTTAGGTCAGTTCAGAACAGACTCCTGCGGAGCGAGACCCAAAATTCCGGGAGACCAGATGCGGGGGTGACATATCGGCGCCATTGTCGGCGAGAGAGAAGTGCCGGTCGGGCACTAAATTGCTGGACACCCTCGTGGAGAAGCGTGGGTATACCTTTGTTAAGACCGGATCCATGTCCGACGGGTCCCTAATTTGCCGGCTCGTACAATCCAATTACGACCGCGCGATTTGGCTTTCTACGAAAACCAAAAAACACACATTCGGAAATCAACCCGAAACGACGATCTCAAAGCCGCTTTCAAAAAACGAAAAATCCTCTCGTTCGCTCTTTTTAACTTGATGCAATTTCAACGATACGTTTTTGTCAATTAAAAATTTAATACCGATCCTCGAAGTCACTGCGGAATCTTCACGAAATTTCCAATTTCTAATTTAAACTTTCAATTTCTTCGTGTTTGTTTAAGATATAAACTATTTGATTTCTTTTTATATTGTAACGATCGAAGCTTGTGCAAAATTGCGACAGTTTTTTTCTAGACAAAGAGAGCGACTTACTTTGCCGTGTTCTTTCTCGAAATCACAATCCAACGGGTCGACTGCGTAATTTCCAGACGCGGTGCCAAAAACAAGTTGAAGATTGGTACCCGTTGCCGCGAACGCAATCTCTGTGCGACCCTCGCGACAGCCATTTTGAAATCGTACTTGTCGCTCCTCGATTGGCCGGTCTCTATAGCCTGTGTATCTCACCTGCAAAAGAATAATGAAATACTTTCGTTAGCGATATTTTACAGCAATAATACAAATAAAAATTTAGACAAGTGACAATACGTTATTTAAAAAAATTCTTGTGTTTCAACATTTCGATTATCTGACGTTAATATGCGAGGAAATATAGTTTCGCGAGTATTATCCTAAGTTTCTTTTTTTAAACTGCGACAAAAATTCACAGAAATAACGTTGTTAGGAAATGATGTAGAATATTAATTGACTCTTCCTGTGTGTGTGATCTCCGGAGGCGCTAGACAAATTCGAAGAAAGGACAACATTCCTACGGCATGATATTCGTCCGTGTATCAGATTGAGAGAGAACGGCTTTTAGCGTCATGTGTTTCGAGATTTCTCATTACGCCACATAAGTCCAAAGGCATTTCCTATGATGATCCAGTTATGAAATTGATTGTGGCATACAATAATTCGATGTTTCATTATACAATGTAAGACAATACTTAATGTTTATTCGCAATTAACATACGACCGTGTATTATTTTGTAAACATATGTGAATGCAATATCGATAAATAAATATTTGTACGAGAAATTCGAAAGAGCATTGCTCTATATAGTTGCGTCGATTTTTCTATCGTGTCTTAATTATTGTTGAAATGATGAAACATTTATATAAATTATCTTCGCAGTATATAATAAAGCGTACGTTGAATGACAGTTCATCAGAACATGTATACATGTATAAGTAATATTCCAAACATCGTGGGAAACGTTCGAAGACTACGTATAACAGTCACACTCTCAGAATAACAGTTTTCCTCAAGAAAAACTTCTTATTGCTACGTCATTACGGATATTTATTGTTGATATTTTTGCTTGACTACATGAGCTTTTTTACCTGTTGTTTCGAATTAGTTTTGATTGAAATTTCCGTCCCATCTCGAAAAAATTAAAATTTGCAAACGGAGTAAATCAATTTTGAAGCTGTTATAAACAATTTTCTACGTCCTCTGAAGAGGAAAGTTTTTCTGAAAATTTTTTTTCTGAATAATTCTGATTGGAGTACCAACTTCTGTCATAGTCCGTTACTTCACCGATCATTTTTATGTTTACTCTTCTTATTTTAAAACTCACGCCGTGTCATTTTTTTTTTTTTTTATCAGTATTTTTTCCAATATAGGATTAATCACGTGTATCATGAAATATTCTATTATACTATGGTTTTTTCGTTATCGGGGCGCTTGTTTCTCTCGGAAAACTCACCTCGCTCTCGCGACTCAATCTCCTGAAGAGCTCGTCGCTCTCGAACTTGGACTTCTGATCCGGTACGACTCGTGGCATCTTGAAGACTAAGCGAGTTGGTCGCGGTTGTTCGTACAGACCCATTCCGTCGAACGGTATTACGCCGACAGCACCATGCTCGCTCATTGCGTGCATCATCTTCGGGGCCGATAAATAAATCGGACTTTTTTCTTACCGATAAATTAGCGAAAAAAATCACGTTTCGGAGGGTGGGATGTTCCCACAATTTGTGTCAGGTCACTCTCTTCACTGAGACGTTCAAAAACAATGTTCGAAAAACCAATTCCAAGGACAGAATCCAACTGGATTCTTTTACACGAGATGTGCGCGACCACCACTCTCTTTACAATGAACGATACACACAGCGTGGCGCCTGAATGTCGACTGATGCGCCGTGAAATAAGAGGGGCTCCCCGCGTGTTTGGAACCCCACTTCTCTGCCCGGATGATTCTGACACGCCTCTCTTGGATCCGCCTCCTGATTTCCCCGCTTTTTCGCCAGTGAAAATCAGTGGCTATCTCGGCGACCGGTCAGCCGATTCGGCGGGAGATTCTCGGATTCATCCCGGAACAAAAGTGTTTCGGATCTCGCGAGCGTGTCGCGGCATCGAGGGTTAAAGCGCGCTCGACAGATCAGATTTGAATAATTTTGTAAATGCAAACATAAAAGCGACTCGTCAATTTTACCATGGCGTTTCAAGATGTTTTATTTTCTCGAACAAAAAAATAAAGTCAAGGGTAACGCAATGAATTAACTCCTGGAGTTAATATTTAAAAAAATCCTTTTTTTATATATGTATAATAATAAAATAAAATAAAATATTTGGCAAAAAAATCAACGTCCTTGCGGAGAAAAACCTGATTCTATTCCTTATTCCTTCTAAAAACCTGATTCTTCTCCAAGGCTTTAGATATAAAATGTGTTGCCGTTACTCGGAAAAAAGGCAGTCATAAAACACTTTTCTTGCAGAGAGGTGCAGAAGGGCGCAATAAAGCGATATAACGTATAGCGGGATCGTCGAGTATTAGGGATTGGCTGGCTACGGTGTATCCCTCATAAAGAGATATACACGGGAAGTACGTATATCCTGCAGAAGGGGGAGAGAGTATATCCATTTCGGGTGCGCCGGCTGTCTGCTTAAGAGTGTAACAACCCGCGTGTATCCCCTCGAGGGACGAGAGATCTTCATCGTGTCTCTCTTTCGAGTGGCGGGGCTCATCCATTTGAGAGGATCATTGTCGAGGATCCGCGCGCGCGATTAAGATCAAAGACCCTCTTCGGTGAGCGCGCGATGCTTTATCGGCGATACATGAAGATATACCTCGCGGTTATTCGTTTTTCTCCTTTCCCTATCCAGTGCGTCAACACTGACAATATTACGGCTCGTGTGTCAATGTCGGAAAAATACAATGCGATATTGTTTTTGTAAAACAACGGTAAAAAAAAAAAAAAAACAAACGTTACGATCGCAAAGATACGGAATGTCGCAATTCTGCACGGTAGAATGCGGAAAAAAAAAGTTTCACAATGCGTTGCAACTTTTTCTAATTTGTCTTCTTTTGTATAACTCCGCGAGTTTATGGTTTTAAGACCGTAGTGTCTTGTTTCTCTCGGCATTATTTGTTTCAAAATACTCTGTCGCAAAGATCCTTGATCTCTCTTGTTTCGTTATTCTTTTAGATATGAAAATGGTTGTTTCGAAAACATCAATGCGCAAGTTACGCGGAGATCGTTTTTTTTTTTTTTCACTCGTCGTAAATATATTATAAACATGAATAATATTCAAGCGTGGTAAACGGGAATTTTACGCGCACGTCTCGATCGGAGAAAGAGCGAATCTCCGCCTCCTGTTGCTTTATTGGTCCAGCTGCTTCGCCAATCCGTAGCCTCCTGTATCCCTCCTGGGACACGCAAAGGGAGGAAATATACACGCGCGCACGTGCGTGCGTATGACACGTTGTTAAAACTGTGTAGTGAACGCTGCCTCTGAATACGAGACAGCGAAGAAAACATGGTTTGACAAAGATACATTTTTATTTTTCTTGCAAAAGATTAGCTCTTTTATTCGATTATTTTATATATCGTCACTCCCTACGTATAATCCCGTAACTCCAAAACGCAAATTTTAGAGGAGAGCAGTTTAAAAGTTTGAAGCTTCATATAGTTTCCCTAGTTAAGGGATCTTTCGGTTTTAAATTTTTACCTTACTTATGAATATTTTTTTTTAATACTTGGTGACCACAAAGAACATGACTTTCTGAGTGTCACTATGCAATAAACTGAAAATCCCATATGTGACACTTATGTAATTATACGTAGAGAGTGACGATATATAATTTCACTTACCAATTTTGTAAGTTTCTAATATTTGTAAACTATGTAACAATATCGTAACGTTTTAGCAATATTTCGTAAAGATTCACCCAAACGTCCGCAAATAATCTTTGATAATTATCTAAGACATCTGTTTTTAAATATTGGTAGTCACAATAAAATATTAATACGACTTCTCACTTTTTGTCTGACAAAATTTTCGCTTTTCGCGCGTCGAAAAGCGAAAGAGATCAATATACGCTTCGCGAACGTTCGTTGCCAGAGAAACTCGAACCTTGTTGGTACTATATACTTGTAAACACACAGCGTGTGCAGGATGTCGAGCCGAGGAAAAAGCGCGGACGAGATTTCCTGGCGACGCAAAGCGTACGAGCGTCACCGTTCCAGAGTGAGTGATCGTGAATTACATTTACAAACGACTGATCCTTAATGCATCCATCTGTTCAATATTTCATCGGCCGAGATTTCTTTCGTCGCGCTTCCAAAAACCTCGAATTTGTGTGCAATTTGTTCTTTTAAACTCCGCAGGTGAAGTCGGCCCGAGCGACGGTGGATATGAATCCACCGGAATACAGATCTCACGTCGCGTTCAACGCAAAAAGGGTGCAGTTGGAGCGCGAACGGCAGGCGCGAATTGTCAGAGACAACTTTATCCTCTTAAAGAAGCTTCGTGATATCATGCATCGAAAGCAACGAGTCGCAGAGGACACGCAGCGAGTGCGATGGCAAGAATCGAGATGCGTTAGGACTCGTTAAAAAGAAGAGGATAATCGATAAATTTTCTCTCTACAGAACGAGCTGAATTATTGATAACTTAATTTTACATTGACATTCACCTGAGAAAGAATTAATTTTACTTATAAGTTATAAACTCATAATTGTCACACGATATTGATTATTTTTGTCAAAATTAAATTTACTATTCATACATACATAAGTGTTTGGTGTAGCTCTCATTGTCTACTTAATTTCCATCTAGATGTAAGTTGTCTACACCGAAAAAATTATATTCTTGTAAGTAGAAGATTTTATACTTAAAAAATCTTCTTAAAGATTTTAGATGATATTCTTCTGAAATTAAGAATATATTCTTTATTTAAGAATATAGTCTTTTTCGATATTGAGATATATATGTTTTTTTATAGAGGCTTTTTATATTCTAATCAGTATATATTCTTATCAATATTACTATTTAGAGGATTTTCCTCTTAAAATAAGAAACTCTTCTTGGCGCCTATTTTAGTATAAAATATACTTAAAGTAAGTGGGATATCCTCACAAAACAAGAATACAATTTTTTCGGTGTAGGAGCTAATTTATAAATTTATTGTTGGTATTGTGCAAATCAAATCGATACGCATATCGATTTACGTTGAATCATGCGAGTCTGTATTCTCAACGGTCTCGTTTTTCGTGCTGAAGAATAAATGAAAAAGCTCGCCGACGTAGAAACCTACAAAGCCGAAAAGAAGTTCGGCAAAGAGAATCAATGCGACTTGAACGAGAGCGAGTCGTGGATTGAATCGCGCGCATTGACGCACGCCGAAGCCGGCGAGTGTCTGAATACGTTGGGCAAATGCGTCGAATCGTACGAACACGCTTACTTGAGCTTAGACGCCTCCAACAGGAATCTGACGGATGTAAGTGTGATATCGTTCTTCGAACACGTTCGCTACGTAAACGTGTCTGGGAACAGATTGACTTCCGAGGCGTTACGTGCGCTCGAGACGATGCCGTATCTGCAGATTCTGCAAGCGAATCGGAATCTTTTGATCACCGTAGATTTAAAACCAATGCCTTATTTGCAGGTGATCTTTCATGATCTTTCGAGTGGCTATCGTATATAATTTTTTTTCAAATAGATTCCGAACAAACTACTTTTGTTTTTCGCGATTGTTGTTATATTGTAACTACTGGAGAGAGAGAGAGAGAGAGACATTTCGCACATAGTACATTGTTTCTTCTAATAAGATTATTTTTAAATCGTGTAGCAACTCATCCTGAACAAGAACAGGGTGACGGACACATCCGGCATCCGCCATAAGCAACTTGAACGTTTGGAGTTGAATTACAACGACTTACGTTTCGTAACCTTGGATCCCGAGACTCTCGTTAACTTGAAGATCTTGGAATTACGTGGCAACGCGCTCGACAGCACCATAGGTAGGATCTGCGAAAAAAAAACGCGTTCCAAAGTTGCGAGAAAAAAGATGAAAAGAGAGAGTGACTAAAAAATTGGCTTTACGACGCAAAAAATACTTCGAATTTAAATGTTTATAATTTTCTTTACAGGAATTTGCTGTTCCGGTCTCGCGCATTTGTTTCTGGCCGAGAATCAAATTAAAAGGATCGAAGATCTCGAAGTCCTCGTAAATCTGAAAATGCTACATCTGCGAAGCAACGAGTTGGCGAGCCTGGACGGCTTCACCGAAAAGTGTCTCAGTTTGAATTATGTCAATTTGCGCAACAACAAGCTCACAAAGATTTCGGAGCTGAGAAAACTAAGTTGCTTGCCGAGTCTGGAAATTCTTATCGTCCTAGAAAATCCTTTTCTGGAAAAAGATAAAGAAAAAGAAGCGGAAGAAGAAGAAGAAGAAGAAGAAGAAGAAGAAAAAGAGAAGCGACAAAAACAATATAGATTATTTATTTTGATGATGCTTCCAAAATTAAAGAAAATCGATAAGGATCATATATCAGATCGGGAAAGAGACAAAGCGAAGGACTTGCTAAAGAAAATGACGAAAAACGGATTTGAGGATTTTGATTTGCAAAATTGAAAATTTGACGAAAAGATCTTCGAAAATATTTATGTCTAATTTGATTTCTTGTTAGACATTTTTTTATGTATCGCATATGTATTGTATGTTACTTTTGAGTAAACAAATTGAGTAAAGTTACTTTTGAATATAAATAAATTATTTTTGACATTCAGCTCTAGAGACCATAAACTTATATTTACGCTACACCATACAATTGCGATGATTGAAAATTATCTGATAATTTTGGCACATCCTGCTAAGAATATAGTATATAATAACAAACTAGAGTCATCTTGCGACAACGGTACGTAGTACCAAGTACCGAGTCACTTATCGATCAATGAGTGAAAAAAATGTTATGAAAATGTTATGAAAACGACGATTGTGTCGAAATAATGTCAAAATATTGCACTATTATTGCGTACTATAGTTTTTATAATTAAGTTGAATATATACGGATAAAGTTGTAACAATCACAATTATAAAATATACAATATAACATCATATAAATGATCTCGATCTTTTTTAACACGACGATATTCTAAGCAAAATGTTATAAGACAATATTATGTCGCTAAATCGTTATTTTTTTCACTTGAGAAACGCTTAACAAGTAAGCGATGAAATATATATCAACAATCTATTTTGTTTCAAACATGGCCATCTGATTCCCGAAACTTGTCCCGCGCGAAGATTGCGATGCAATCTTCGCGATAGTCGATCATAAAAGCGACATATTATAGTCAAAACTGACATCATAGACAGTAATTATTAAAAAAAAACAACAATAAATACAAAAACTGTACCTAGATGTGATCATTTTTCCAGCTCCTCTGAAGCCGCGACGTTCGTACACTTCCGTAAGGCAACTCGCGCGCGACGCAACTGAACGTAACGCCGATTTGCAGTCACGTGATCATCTCGCGAGAGAATCGAATCGATTCACTCACAATCGATAACACGGCGCAATCGATTCTCTTTGTCGATCAGTCGCGAATGGTGCGGGTACCGTACCGTACCGGCGTATCCACGTGAGAAGGGCGATATTATATTAGGACGCGAAACGTAAGTTTCTCCCATTGTGTTCTTCCGCGCTACACTCGTCGTTTAAAACAACCGTATATATATATCAGCACCATGACCAAGCCTCCGTACAAAGTCGGTGAGTACAAAGAAACAAGTATAACATATACGTTTGAAATATAATACGAATGACGGTTGTCTCTCTCGATGGTTCGGAGCAAAGCAAATGTACTCGTTGCGAAATAATTTAATTTCTGTGAAAAACGAGTGAGATGTCTCTTAATATTTGGCGTGTAAATTAGCAACGCAAAGTAAACATTCAAAAAAAATACGTTTTTTATCTGTATATAATTAAAATTTATTATATTTAATTTCTTTGCGTTCGCAAAAGAAATCCTTAGCCGGATAAAGTTCTACCGTGTAATAATTTTGCAAATTTGTTGCAGTAAACTACATTCCGCGAGAAAACGTGTCTAATAATGTCAACGTATTTTTTTTTGTGTTTTTTAAATAGCCGACTTGTCGCTGGCAGAATGGGGTCGCAAAGAGATCACATTGGCGGAAAACGAAATGCCAGGACTGATGGCGATCAGAAAGAAATACGGGGCGTCAAAGGTATTGAAGGGCGCGCGAATTGCTGGCTGTCTTCATATGACTGTGCAAACCGCAGTGCTAATCGAAACTCTGGTGGAACTCGGTGCCGAAGTAAATACCAAGATAATAACGTCTAATCTTACGTATATATCTAGCACGCTGATTATCAGGCGTGACACACTGTTGTAAAAAAGCTCTTTTTGCTCAATCTTTTGCACAAGAGTTGTAGATAACGTGTTGTGTTATTTGTCATGTATGTTGCAACTGAACAACGTATTACAATATGAAAAACATGTTTGCATCTCAAAAGAATCTTTCAATGATATTATTCAGTTTTTTTCTGTGCATATAATCAACACGCACAAAACCTTACTCTTTTAATAACATGTAAAATATTTCACAAAACATACGTCAATTTTTTGAAATAATTTACTATGAAAAAAAGTTAAAAAAAAAAAAGTTTTAAAACGTTTGTTTTTCGGTATGCGATTAATTTGTATCCAAAGTTCTTACAAAATTGTTTCTTGTGGATTGTAGGTACAGTGGTCGTCCTGCAATATATTTAGCACGCAGGATCACGCGGCAGCAGCTATAGCAAAGACCGGAGTGCCAGTGTATGCGTGGAAGGGCGAGACCGAAGAGGAGTACGTCTGGTGTATCGAAAAAACGCTCGTCTTTCAGGACGGTAAGCCGCTCAATCTGATCCTCGACGATGGTGGCGACTTGACTAATCTCGTGCACACTAAGTATCCGCAGTATCTGGAAGAATGTCGTGGAATATCCGAGGAGACCACCACCGGAGTGCACAATCTCTACCGTATGATGAAAGAGAATACGCTCAAAGTGCCGGCGATTAATGTCAACGATTCCGTGACAAAGGTTTGTGCATTTATAAATATGTCATTGTGGGTTTAGAGTTCTAAAATACAGAAATTGACCGTCCGACTCGATGGAAAATAGACCAGACGGAATAAAAACTTGGTTGAGAACAGTTTTGATCGAAATTGTCAGTCATCGTTCGTGTCACTTGAGTGTTAATAAAACTGATTACGCAAGAGAAACGTGAACGAAACAGATAAACAGATATGTATAATTGACAAATTTAAAACTTGTTTTTCTGACGCAATAATATTATTTCTGAGAAAATAGGTACTCTACAAGTAAAATGGAAAATAAAGGTTTATTGAACCAATAAAAATTGTTGAACGATTAATCAGAACTCAATAAAAAAAAAAAAATTAATTCACTTGTTACTTCGATCCGGCAGAGCAAATTCGACAACTTGTATGGATGCAGGGAGTCGCTGATAGACGGTATCAAGAGGGCAACTGATATCATGATCGCCGGAAAGGTGTGTGTGGTCGCCGGATACGGAGACGTTGGTAAGGGATGCGCGCAGAGCCTCCGAGCTCTGGGAGGTCGCGTTATCATCACGGAGATCGATCCCATTAACGCGCTGCAAGCAGCCATGGAAGGATACGAAGTACAAACGTCTACAATTTTTCGATTGTAGTTATATTATAAACAATTATAAAATCAAAATTTAAATTTATCGTTATTTGAACATCATGAAATTAATTAAAGGTTTCATCAAGATTACTTAATAGTTCCAACTTTCAGGTAACGACAATGGAGGAAGCGTCTACGAAGGGACAGATATACGTGACAACTACAGGATGTAAAGGCATCATAGTAGCTCGCCACTTCGCCTGCATGCCGAATGATGCAATCGTCTGCAACATCGGACATTTTGACTGCGAGATCGATGTCGCGTGGCTGGAAAAGAACGCCGTGGAAAAAACAAATATAAAGCCGCAAGTGGACAGATACCGTTTAGAAAACGGCAGGTGCGTATGTGTGCGAAATCGCAAAAACCTCAAAGAAATTGTTTCACGACTTGTGTGTCATATTGTATTTATTAATTTTTTTTTAGACATATTATTCTTCTCGCGCAAGGTCGTTTGGTGAACCTAGGTTGTGCGACAGGACACTCAAGCTTTGTTATGAGCAATTCGTTTACAAATCAGGTGCTCGCGCAGATCGAACTCTGGACAAAATCAGATCAGTATTCGATTGGCGTGCATATGCTGCCGAAGAAGTTGGACGAAGAAGTTGCGGCATTGCATCTGGATCACCTGGGTGTAAAATTGACAAAACTGACCGTTGAACAGGCCAAATATCTGGACATACCTGTGGAAGGACCTTATAAACCCGATCATTACCGATACTAGTACTTCATGTTCAAGGAATCAATAATAAAACAGTGGGCTATTGATAAACGCATTTTATAAATAAATTTGTTCTTTAATAGCGACAACTATCACAGATCGTTATGTACAATTCTACATACATTATTCCTTTATATTTTAAACAGCATTGAATTTTCGTGCAGGCACTGACAGCCGCAGCCTGTCGGACACACTGTCTCTTTGGCAAACCACGCTGCTAAGTGCTGAATGTGTCCGCCGTGACCACAGAACATGCAGGAGTTACTCGCACCTAGAGTTTTCAACCAAAAAATCAATAATTTACGAATTTCTTGTATTCAAAATTACGATTTTGATGTGTTATCGAATTAGAAAAAGGTCTGACAAACCTCTGACCGTGACATGACAAACGATACACTGGAAGCTCAATCCTTTGCAGTTTGAGCACTGCGGACCTTGGCTGATCTTGCCGCAGGATCGACACTCACACTGCAAATCGGCGCTCTTCTGCACATCGAACGGCGACGCGCTAAGATGCTTCAGAACCTGTGCACGAGCATCCAGTAATTCCCATCTGTGCAACGCTTCCGCGTAAGCTTTCTTGTAGCCGTCATACACCGCCGTGTATTTCTCGTCGAGTAACCTGTGCAACATTTAATTATTTCGAAATATTTTCGCGCGTCACAAAATTGAAAAAGACGTGTAAAACGGCAGTTTAGCAGATTTTAGGTGTTTTTTTTTTGTTTAAATACTTAAAATAATCGTGTTGTTTTTTTAACTGTTCATACTTAGTGGGTTTTGTTGAGTCTCCAAACGTGTCTTGAATGACTTTCAAATCGTCATGCGACTCTGACCAAGAATTGGATCGATGTTGCTTCAAACTTTGGAAATTCCATCCTTCTAACGTGTCTGCGAGATGTATCGTGTGATAGGGCGAACCCCCAGGCTATAAAAAAAAGTACATCGAACGTATAAAATAGATTGACATATATATGTGTACATATATATATATCACATATATATATATGCACATATACATATATATCTACACTTGTAATTATACGTAATACTATGAATATACTATTAATATACGTAATACTATGCGTTAAAACTTTATATAATTTATATGACCCTCCGCACTTAGGAAGGGTTAATGAATTCGTTTGTTAATGAGTAAAATCACTACATATGAGCTTTCCTTAAAAATAATGGGTGTTTGTTTGGTGAGATAATCATAGCAAATTACATTGTTAATTACGGCAAACAGCACGTATTAACCACCAACTGCGATTTGCTACGAGCAATTTACGCTTCAATTTTTGCTTTTTTTTTTTTTTTGTTTTTGTTTTTGCTTTTATTAATTATATCTCTCACGCAATATTAGTGCAAAAATTTTCTTAGCCAGAACTAAATCGGGGGATATAGCGAGCAAGTCTGCACGCTTGGTGGTGATAGTGACGCTTCCACTCCGATGCTGAGAGGCAATGCACAAACTATTGATTTATGTAACAGAGAGAATTCTAAGTAAATCTGAAATATTCCACAACACACTTCGATAGAATTCGGAGATCTTACCTTCAACCACCATTTTCCTGTGGAAAGCCTCTATAACAAACGTAACAAACGTAAACATTATATTGTTAGCTGTGATGTATGTATAATTGAGTGACGTAAAAGATACGTTGGTACAGTACGTCATATTTTATTTAAACAAGTATTACATAACGCCGATATATATACATATATATATATATATATATATATATAACATACTGCACCGATCGTATTCAAGACGTTAGACATTACACAAATCACACGAAAACTATGTTCCCTCGTGCATCGGAAGAAAGAGACACGTGCTGTGCATAAGAAGTCTCTATCCTTATAACAAATATTGAGGAACTCAATACGGAAGACGAAACTGTCGTCGGCATGGTAAAACGTGCTTTTTTTACACACATAATTTCTCCTCTCAATTTTGTAGACAGTGTGCCACATTGTGCTAAGAGAAACGTTCACAGTACAACTGCGCGATCCGCGCATCTTGCTCTTTCGTATGAAATTACATTACTTACACTGACGTTCACGGATTTGCTAATTAGCCGACTGGTTTGCGCGACATCCGTGTTTTCCAAACGATTGCTGAGAGCGCAGCTTAACATTCCAGCCATTTGCACATCGGATTGATTAGCATAATGTTGCACTCTGAGCAAAAATATTAACATGTTAAATTTATCGATTAGTAACAACTGTGACGTGACAATCTAAAAACATATTTTAAAAAAGCACAATTCTTTAAGAAAATTTTTTAATTAAAAAATATTAACTACTAAAGAAGAAACTTTTCACGTATTTAAAAAAATAGTTTTAATTATTATGAAACAGATGATCAAAGTAACTGCTTACTTACAAGGAATGAATTAAACTTTGGCCCCAAGGATGTAAGGGCCACGGAGCGTCGATGTCGGGAGACAAACTTGACTGACACGAGGTCTGCTCGTTGTTGGATTGGGAGGATTGGGAGATGATCAAGCCAGTTAAACACCAAGTTTGAACTAAATCAGGTCGTTCGAGAGCAGCAGCCACGTTCGCATTATACTGACACATGGTGGGAATGTCAGTGGTGTCAATCCTAAGTAAAAAATAAAACAGTTTTATTGTTGTTTTTTTTTTTTTTTACGTTGCACAACCCGCTCAATATGTACAATTGTTACGCTTACGTGTATTTTTCAGCGAGTTCCTTGTTGACGTAAAACAAAGACGAAGCATCGTATATCATGACCATGGGATGATAATTCTTGAAATACGATCGATCGTGCATTCTACTGTGCAATCCACGTCGAAGGTCTTTCTGCTGAAAAAATTGCCGCTATCATTAATACACAATCCTGTTTTTATCCGATATTTATCGCGATTTAACTGACTTACGCGATCCTGAAAGTAATACGAGCTGATAGACACATCGTTGCTCGATACGTAGGAACTTCGGTACATGTGCATAAAAGATTCGCCGTTGCCGATACTGTTGTCCAGAGCAGACAGCGCTCTGGGTGTTGTCTCTCCTGGTTTCAACGATGACCTTCTCGCGTACGACGGACGGCCGAAACAAACGAGCATACCTATCCAAAACAAAAACAAAAAGACAAAGAATAGAACCAAGTACAAGTGTACAACTCACGCCGCGTACAAACAGTGTACACACCTACGGAGCAAAACTTGGCGCCGGATGTTCTAGGAAACGGTATATAAGAATCCTGATAATTCGCGCACATATTCGGCGAGCTCAAAAAGTTGCCGTTATCTTGTATGTAGTACGGTATATGATCAGTCTCGTCCACGTCCACATTGCACATCTAGCATAATTAATTAATTAACTGAATAAATAAATAAATGAAGAATTGATTATGCTTACTTTCTCCAGATTGTTAATCAACTGCCGAAGACACGGTTCCAAGCAGGATCTGTTCTTCTTAACGCGGTGCTGAGCGGTCTGCGTAAGAACTTTCAGCAATTTCGTTATCATCGCATTGTCGATCGACGTGCCGGGACAGAACTGAAACGTCGGTTGCGCGCTGTACGGGTAATTCTCGGGAAAATTTACTTTTAATATCACATTGTATTTCTTTGTACTGGCGGTTATCGTGCAACTCCTTTCTGTCGCATCCATAGCGTTTACCTAAAAGTCGCAAAAAACGCAGATGCGTCAGCCAGTTTGTTCGTCAATTGATAATTTTGTCGAAAAAAAAAGAAATATATATAATACAAGTAAAATAAATTTAAATCATATAGTACTTCTATATTTGGTATGTTAATATTTATCAGAGAGAATTCTTGCTGTAGACTCTTTGGCTGAGTTGGGGACGAGATTTTTTTGGAATTGTCTAAAAGATTCGTGGTTTCAGATTGCGGAGCAGGTTCGTCCACTTTGGTCGTGATATAATTTATTTCGGGCTCGTTCTGGGAACTGTTGAGTTGTAGATCTTGAACGGACTGTAATGTTCCTGAAAATATACCACACTTACTTGTGTAACAATGTGAAAAATTTTATCGCACAGAAATAACGACCTGAGTTGATAACGTCACTCACTTAAATTGCTCTCTTCGGAATACTGACTATAAACTGACAAACCGTCGTCTATACCGTTGCTGCACAACTAAGAAATTTGAAAAATATGTTTTATTATTAATTTTTTTTAATTCGCAAAAAGATATGATCTCACCTTTCTTATGAAAGGATTGATTTTGTACGTTCTCAGGCACTGATCCTTGCACCACGTGACAAGCTCGAAGTCGTTAGTATCTACACAAGTAAATGCGAATACAATTACAGCACTGTCTTAGTTAAATACATATCTAGTAGATTAGATATGTATTTTTAATGTTTTTCTCAAGGTTCCAATCTTCATTCTCACTCGACTTATATTAGTATAATAAAAAAGATATGAAAAATAGATTCCAATTTAAGATTAACTTTACTCCTAATCTAATCTCGCTGCTACTTGCGTAAGCAAATCTACCGTGTTTCTATTTCTAAACGTCTTTGTTTTTGTATCCACATATTTTCCATATTTTTTCTCTAATCTTTCTTCCGACTAGAGATTTTTTTGTTCACTTATTTGCTCTATATCTTCCCTTTTTCTTCTCCCTATCTTAGTATATCTTCTAGAAAGAATGTTAAGTGTGTGACAATGTGTATACCTTTCAAATGCCTCCATTGAAATTCTAATACTATGTCCGTGTGACCGACAAACGTATATATTGGTGCACCGAAGTTCGGTATGTTCCACAGCAAAAGACTGTTTTCTCCTCGTCGCAAAGGCGGTACTACTATTGTCACTAACCCTTCCCCAAAGGGCTGAATAAATCAATAAGTAATACACACAAGATATATATATATATACAGCTTTAACGTTGTATTGAAAATTGTTACTTGAGTGTGCTTACTGTGTATCTCGCTTTCCAGACAGGCGAATTTGTTCTCAAAGTGTGCTCGACGCTACGCGGATTCAGAATGTCAAATATCTTGACACTGCAGTCTTGACTCGCCGTTGCTAAATGGTTTTGTTGAAAGGGACACCAATCTAAACCGTATATCTAAAATCATCCTTGATTTTGAGACTTTCTGGTAAAGATCGCTACAACTAATATAACAAAGTTGTATACTTTTGTTAAATGGGCTGTTATGTATTGAAGAGGAATGTTTCCTTTTCGTTGATCCCATATTCTGACGTCGCCGTCGTGTGCCGTAGCCAAAATATGAGATGACAGTGGATTCCATCGTACTTGTGTCGATCCCGCTGTAACAAGAACACAAAGATTCTATTTTTTTTGCGATTAAAATTAATATCTCCAAGTTGTCCAAGTATGTTTTAGAGCTTACCAACTGAGGACAGAGACAAACATGGCTTTCTTTGATCCCTTATGTCCCAAATATGTATAAATCTATCAATACTGCAGGATGCGATAATATCTGCCTCTTTAGGATGCCAACTTAAATCACTAATTACACGTGTGTGCGCTTTTAAGCTCTGTGTGGTTTGCAATTCACATCCTCCTGCTCCATTGAGGCTCAATATCTCGATACGTGTATTACTCTAAAATAAAAAAATTCTTTTTACTAAATATAGTAAATATATTTTTTTTTTATACTATAAGAGAGAAAGAAAAATTAAAATTCTTTATAGAGAATATATTACAAAAACATTTGTATTTGAAAGTTCTTACAGAAATTGCACATAAATGGCAATTTTGGATGTTCAGATTCCACACAGCACAGCCAACTTCATACTTGCTCTGCCGCTGGAACTTTTTTACTGTGTTTGTATCCTCATCCAAGTATTTTACTGCCAAATATCTACGTCTATACAAAGAAAATGATATAGTTATTTTCCATAAAAAACAGTATATATATATATATATATGTATAAAATTATTTTTGCTCTATGCAGTAACACCACACAGTATACTTTGCAATCTTCTTCTGTACACAAAAACTGGCAATTTACTTGCAAATAACTACTAACTACTTACCCAGCTAACAGAACATAATTGCCGGTAGCATCCACGGACATGGCATTGGCCTGAAGCAAAAGAAAGATACATACAATCACATATAAATCCTCTTCATCTGTCACGTGAAACAAAGACGAGACGTTGACGTGATTCCCGATGAAAGATTGTTTTTTTTTTTTTTTTTCCGACCTGTAAATCGCGGTGCTCCGTAACGACATAATCGCCGCTTCGTTTGGACATTTCGGCAGCAAAATTTTTAAACTCCTCGATGTGTCACATTCCGCTTTAAGGTTAGAATCGTCCGCACGGTAGTGTAGTCCTCGCAGTCTCTACTCTGCGATTTGCTTTTTTTTTCTGCTCTCCATCACATAACACACAGGCACCACAATATACAACACACCATGTATACATGTATACCGACAGAAATTATGCAGTAGAGAGGCACGTATATAAACAAATAAAATATACACAAAAAAAAATTAGAATGTTAATTAATTGTTAACATCAGATTAATCTATAATCTATTTTTCTAACCAGGTATTTGTTTTTTTTTTAACGTGCGTTGTATTATTTAGAATAAAATAATGGTAAAATCAATCGGAGAAAATAAAGCTATTTGTTATAAATTAAAAAAAACGAATATATGTGTGAGGAAAAATGATCGTCTTTATAAATTTATCTCGTACTCAATTTTTAAATCTTCTCTCGCGCTTTTTACTCATAAAACCTGTAACATGAAGCGATTTTATTCTACGCGCGAATAAGAGTCTAAAACGGTGAGATAAGTTAGAGAAGATAAAAAAAAAAAAGAAAAGAAACACAATTCTGGTTTCACCATACACACAACACGTATAAGGTCATGTATACGTACACGGCAAGTGCATTAATTGCGTCCAACTTTTGTGTAATTTTTCAAGAAGAGTATAGGCGAGTACAGCGGTGCATCTAGAATTAGAACCGCTGTGTGGGTATAAATAATAACGTTAATAAAAATATTTTTATAATATTATGATATATATAATTTTTAAATAACACAACAATTGTTTGAAAACACGAGTTACGAACAGATCGGTCATGCGTCGTGGAATTTCCTTGTAAATTCCGATTATATTCCGTTTATCTCGAGACTCTATTAATGCACCCGACTGTACATACGCGCGCGCGCGCGCGCGCGATGAACGCGTCACGCACACACGCGCGCCGCTGACGTAACGCGATTGGTCGGCGACTCGCGCGCCTCTCTAAAGCGATCGCGCGCGAACGAGGACAAACGCGAAACGAGCGCGCGCGTGCGAGAGAGACGGAGCGACTGCGTCGTGCGGTTCCCGCGATTCTATTTCTGTCGCGCAGCGCTTTGTGTGGTTTACGCGTGACGTTTACGTGTGTGCGCATACGTACACGGTTGTGTGTGTGTGTGTGTGTGCGTATGTGTGTATGTACGTGCTAGCGCGCGCGAGTACCGCGTCTGACATCGAGTCGCAATTAGTTGGTAAACTGGTCAAGCTTGGGAGTTAGTAAGGTCGAGTGCGAAGAAAGTAACTTCAACGAAGAGAGAATAAGTAGTTTGAATTGTGTTCTCGCAGGTTCTTTCGCGGCGAGTAAAAATATATAATCCGATCTTTTGTGATATAAATCTGTGCGTGTGAGTCGAGCATCGAGCAGTGACAACAATGTCCGTGATTATGGATTGTTTTCATCAGTAGCGGGCGCTCTGCGGCGTTGAAGTTTGTCGTCTCCTTCTCTTGCGTTCCTTCTCGCACTGTGCGAAGCGAGTCTCCTTTTCTAACCGCTGAGAAAACAGTGCGTTGCCTCTCGAGCATTTTCATTGTTATCTGAGAGCAGAGCGGAGTGTCATCTTGTTCTCTGTGTTCTTGTACGCGGTGTATATACGCGTTTTTTTTCGCGCGATCTTTTCGCCCGAAGAGACGATATAGCTTTTCGGGAGCCAGTCCAAGTGAGAGAGAGATAGAGATAGAGATCAAAAAAAAAAAAGGCCAGCGCCCCTTTGTTTCCCGAAGTGAGTCCCATCGCGTTTTCTCTTTGTGTGGTGTCGCGTTTCTCGCTCGCTCCAATCTTCTCTGTGTGTTTATCTTTTTTTCTCGCTCTATCGGCAAGCATTGCACAAAAAAAAAAAAAAACAAGCGCCCACACACGACAATCCGCGTCTGAGAAGTGAATCTAATCTCGCGCTCTCTCCCGCGTATAAAAACTCGAACACTCTCCCCTCGTAATAATCCTTAACCAGCTATCTGTAATGTGCAAGTACAGCGAAGAAGCCGCGAAGATCATTACGTCAACGATTAATCTCGTGCACTCAAAGAGGAAAGGAATTTTCATACACATAAAAGAGATGCCCAACGACCTGATAAGTCTTCGAAGTCAAAGAAGCTTCTTAACGTTTCGCTCGTACTGAACGAGAAGATTTTGAGATTGTAGAGACAGAAATTTTTCAAGTAACGACGTCACCGATCTAAAGAAGAAACAGATCGAGAATCTCGCTCGAAAGGCATAAGTGAGCTAACAGTGGCTCCAAGGCCGCGGGAATGTCAACGCTGTAAAAGGCCAGGACCAGAGGAGAACCTTGTTAAGACGAATCTCACGCGAGAGAGAGAGAGCAAAACAACAGTTTTTCCAGTCAAGAACAGGAGATTTCGTACAGATTTTGTAAGGAGAGAGATTGTGTTAACTTGTCATCAGGATGAAGCTGCTGGAGAATACACGTTTTGAAGCTATAAACAGTGCCTTGTCCATCAAGACCGGAGACAGCAAGATACTTGGCAGGTAAGATGAGAACGAAGATGAATGAAGTAGAACATGCATGTCTTAATTTTGATGCTTTCGTCATTGCAGGATTGAGAGTTATTCCTGCAAAATGGCAGGCAATGACAAGCAGATGTACAAGCGATTCAATTCAGAGGAGGGAGTCACGCCGCATGATCTACAAGCATTGTCACCACCCCAGACATCAGGAACATCTCCGGCACAAGGATACTTGAGGTGCGAGCCATCTCTTAGGCTCTTGGTGACATAATAAAATATATTGTCCAAGTGTTTTTGTGATCAAGTAAATATGCTGATAATAAGGTACTAGATTGAGACATTGTGATCCTTTGATATTATGGAAACAGTTAAACACAGTTTTCTCACTAAACATCTGCATCTTTATTACCCTCGTAGAGGCCATTGGATTGTATTTTAGAAAAGTTAGGATTTTTAGATAACACATAATTTTACAATAAGCACTAATGCTCGCACAATGCTTCTTATGCGCAGTCTTCTCAACACTTAATACAATTTTGCTTCTGTTGTCACAGTCGTAGTGTTTCCGGCGATGAAGAAGGTCCTCTGTGTGACACAATCAGCAGGAAGACGTTGTTTTATTTGATTGCTACGTTAAACGCAGCCTTTAATCCAGATTATGATTTCTCAAATGCAAAGAGCCACGAGTTCAGCAGAGAGCCGAGCCTACAGTGTGTAATGAATTCGATCGACAACAATCTCAGCGCCACCGCGGGCGATCATTACCGCTCGTTGCAGACCGCTCTCTGGGCGGCTGTTGATGACGAGATAACGCTGCAGGAATGTGATATCTATAGGTAGACATCTGACTGTGTTCATTGACACACCTTGATACAAGAATAAATAAAACACTGCATCGGAATAAAAAAGTACAAAATTAGACCAGTTAAATTTGTTTCGAATTAAGCGGAAACGTTATTACAGAATTAGATAAGCATAACAAAATAATTCTCACAATCTATCTTGCGCAGTTATCACCCGGATTTTGCATCAGATCCGTTCGGCGAAGACGGCTGTCTGTGGTCCTTCAATTATTTCTTCTACAACAAGAAGAAGAAACGCATCGTATTTTTCACATGCAGAGCGATAAAGTAAGTCTTTTTTTTTAAAAAAAGAAAAAAGATTCCAAGAAAGTATTTTTTCTCTTAACTCGGCGTTTAATTAAATTCTTTGCTTTGTGTTTCACAGTCCTCTTTACGTTTTGGATTCTGGAGTTGGTAGTGACTTTGCTATGGATGAAGACGACGAAGATTAAAATGATCAATCATCTGTAAAACACGTACACGTGTGTATGCGTGCATACACACACACACACACAATACATGTTTGCAATCCTTATAAGTTCATATCTTTTTTTTTTAATATAATTGGTCGTTTATTCTCGACTGCATTGTATAACGTCGATTTAACACGTCGCTGACGCGCAAAACTGTACACTAATATTTTATTGTTACATTCGAATAATTCGAACCGCGCAAAAATTGCTGCTCGCATAAAACAACATTTAATCCGTAATTTTTCCTTTCCGACACAGAGCACATGAAATCAAGTAGCACGCGATTCTGTCGAATGTCTGAAGATACCAGAGATAATAACAGTTTAGGGTAAACGTCTGTTATCTATGTTTGTGTCCATTCGAAATGCGACTACATTTCTTCGTTACAATAACAACGCGGCGCGCTTTTTAGAAAAAGTGTTTGACACTATTCTGATTTTCGTAACAAGGCGCATCGGGTTTCATATGTGTCGCTTTTCAGTTATTAATCATGCTTTGTAGCACAAGTTGTTCTGTTTTTATTTATCACGACATTTCGCAGAACCTCTGTAGGTTTATTCGCGAGTTTTTCGAATTTCTCCCTCACACGCTCGATCGAGCGAGCATATGCGATCTCTCAAACTTCTGACAACTTATTACTCGTTCAAATTCCAAGTTCTAGCACATAAATACAGTGAAGAGTAAGAGATTTTTTTTTGTGGTTCGCGCGAAAGCGATGTTGAATAACTTTTACTGAGATCTAACAAGAGAGATAATTTGTCTTTTAAGAAATGTTTGTGTATACATATATACACATTTATATATATATATATATATATATATATATGTATGTATGTATACATTTACACATACACGTATATGTAGTATATTATATCTCTTATATAGTGAAAAAAAATCTTATAAATTAGAGCAAACGTTATAGAATGAAAATTCTTCTGTCTGTTCGTAAAACATGATTATATTACATTATATTGTCAATAGACATGTTGGATGTATATTTTCAAGGTAAAGAATATTGTATGGAATAAAAAACCGTCATTTAAACAAAAAAACGTTTTTGATTTCCCGTTCCCAATAGGCAATCATTCGAACATTGGAAGTCGAAATTCGAAACACGAATCGCGTCACGTGATTGATCGTTTGAACAAGATATTATATCGATTGTGTCGCAAAATATCGCACATTTTTAGGGAATTTGTTCTTGTACACTCGTGCGAACAATTGTAGGTTTGGCGCGTGTTGTTGCGCGCAGCTATTTCGTGATAAGAAATCGCTGCGCGCGACGACACATATCGAATCGATATTTATCGACAAAAGTGTACGCGAGCCCCTGCTGACTGGATATCCGTTTGGGACGCGTATGCACACAGACTCGTGCAGAGGTTTGCTGATATCTGTATGAGCAATGTCGCATTTTTGTATTGTCTATTTATTTTCAAATAATTGAGTCACCGGAACAAATAAACTTTTACCGTGTCTACGATGACAGAGGAGGTGCTGAAGGAGTTAGAAAGCGCGGCACAGATCGTGTTGGTGAGTCAAATAGACGAACTTCAGTAATTTTTCACGCTGATCGTCACAATAACTCGCTTATATAGTTTGTAGATTTGATACACCGCATGTTTGAAACCGATAGACAAATGGAATAGAACTTGCTTGAAAACAAAAAAAAAAAACTCGTGTTACGAACGTGGAACCGATATTCGTCAGCGAGAAACGATCCACGTTGAAAAATTATTTACGTATATAAGATCGTTATGAGGTTAAGATAATCGTGATCCACGCATAGATTTCACTTTGTATTTTTAACATTCAAGAAACTTCGTTCTTGTACGCAGAGAGAAAAAGCGAAACGTTGTCGACAAATTAAGATACAACGAAACGATAATAACGTGGCATTTTTGTGTCTCTCATCGAGCGAGACAAAACAAAATATTCACTACCGTATTTACATGTTACATAATTGTTTATAATTTCATAAAAATATAAATTTTGCGTTTTAAAAAAAAGACGGAATTTGATGATTGTTGAAGCAATATGTGAGGTTTTTAAAGACTTTTGTAAAAATCTTTGACGAAACATCAGTGTATTATTATTTAAAAAATCGAAATAAAAACACAATACAAGAAAACGATTTATATTCCATATCTGGCCCTCTCATATCTATATATTGTTATTATCACAGTGTTTTTATGTTATCTTTTCAGGCACCTCCAAATTTAATTTCCCAAGAACAACGTCAGTCTGCAGAAGCTGTTTTTCTGAAGTTTCGTGAAACAAAATCACCTTATCAGCTATGTAAACAAATTTTAGAATCAAGTACTGTAGATTATATATTGTTTGAAACAGTTGGACTACTAAAGACAGCTCTGATACAAGAATGGAATACGTTATCGGAGTTTGATGTTTCTTCATGGAGACAATATTTGTTGCATTATGTTATAAGTAAACCCACTTTGGCGCCATATGTTAGAGCAAGAATACTCCAAGTTATAGCAATAATTATAAAGAGAGTTAGTGTAAATGACTTAGGACGTGAGAGAAGACAAATATTAGATGAAATTGAATCTTTAATTAAATATGAATCTCTACCGAAGGTAAGTACATTGCAATAATAACAACAACAAAGAACAAAACAAACTGTCTTATCACATTTGCAGAGAATACTGGGATGCAATATCATATCTGCAATATTGCAAGAATATGCAACAACTATCAAATCTTCCGATGTAGGTTTGACATGGGAGGTGCACTTTAAAGAGAAGAGACTGTTTGAAATAAGTGACATGAAAAGAATTTTCAAAGTTTGCATCGAAGTACTTAGTGAATTACTAAAAACTGATTTTGATGAGGCAGCATTGTCCCTTGTAAAGCCATTGCTTACTATTGTAGAAAGCATACTTGTTTGGGGATACGTTTATGCAAATTATATCCTTTTTTATAATATAGTTGGAACTGAAGTTTATGTTGTAAATACGTACATGTATTGATATATACACACACATACCTTAACTCCATTGCACTGCCAAAAAGATTACTAAGCCTGTGCGAGGTCTACGAATCTGGAAATAATCCTCCTTTGCGATTAAATTCGCAATGGCAGGATGTAATACTGGATCCAGCAGTCTTGGATCTATTTTTTACACTGTACTGGAAAGTGCGTAACAATCCGCAGTTGGCACATCATGCCATAAATTGTTTAGGACAATTGGCAAGTTTACATGGCAAAATTTTAAGCACGGATCAAATAAAACTGGAATATCTGACAAATTACCTGCAGAGATTTTTGAAGCTCATAGCCTGTATTGAAATTAGTGATCAAGAAGCAATTGGAATCACTAACATTATTAGGAAGATCCAAGCCTTCTATTACAGCTCGTTCGGTTCTCTGTCTCAAGATTTGTTGAAGTCATTTTTAGAACATACGATGAGAATAACATGCATGTTTATGGAAGGTGCTGCACGCGAAGTATCGGTATGTAGCGTTATTATCTCTCTGCCTCTTTGTTACGATGAGTTATTTGCACGGAAATTTATGAAAATAAATATATCGTATCTCATACACACAATACAGCAATATATATTTGATTTGTAATAACTTGCAGTTGAGTGCTGACGATTGCTTGTACATGGAAGCTATGGACCGTATATTTGATACATGGTTGTGTATCTTGCCTGCGACGCATACATTTCCGCAGGAATTTTGTAAACAAGGTTCTATTCAGATATTTAATATGTATGTTCGATGTCACTTATCACCTCCGGAAGGTTTAAGAAGTTTTGGTAGCAAACCTCTTACAGAAGAAATAGTAGATATGGAAGAAGATGACAAAGTTAAGTTTAAAGATCAGTTACAAATAATTGGTAAGTTAAATTAAAAAGCGTAAAGTAATGCGCGGATACTTTTAGTAAGCGATTTTATATTAAGCCATCTGTCGTAATGTGTTTTAAATGCACTTTTAGGAAGTTTTGGTAGACAAGTAACTCATCACAGTTTACCTTTATTAACGCAATTGCTCGAAAATCGAATAGATATATTACGCGACAAATTGAACATAGTAGTGGGACAAAATGAATCTCGGCCTGCGTGTATGGACGATCTGTATGAGGACTTGCATTGGTTGATCTTAATAACGGGACATGTTCTTTGCATAGATTCGGATGGTGAAACAGCATTAATACCCAAGGAAATTACCCGATGCAGTATGGAGCAGGTCTGTAAAAAAAAAATAGCAAGCTTTGTACGAACTTGAAAAAAAAAAAAAAAAAAAAAAAAAAGAAATCGTAAATTTTTCTTGTATGTTTTTTTAGTCTCGGGAGGGAAATGTTGACGTAAATCATACTCTAGAGGTTCTAATGTCCTCGCAAAACATTCAATCGAATATAAGTTTGACTGACTCCGTCGATCGTGTTATTCGACTGATTACAAATATTTTACGCCTGTGCGCCATCGAGAAAACCGCTATATCTATGCATCTCGAGAGCATACTCAGTCCCGAATTGAGCAGCACGATAATATGGTTCTTGCGTAGATGGTCGCAACATTATCTATTACCGAAGGAGTCTTATTATTACGAGATAAGCGCCACGCTTTTGCAAGCTTTCGGCGAGGACAGCCCCACTACATTGTGGATTATAAATTTGCTTGTGGACAAGCTTATTTGTAACATCAACGCGTTCAAAAGCGAACCGGCGTTAATTAAAGAAACCATTGACTTACTGATAACTCTCGTCGAGACGCCAAAAAAGTAAGTATAGTACACAAAATACAATGAAGATATATATTGATATCTCTCTCTTATAAAAATGAAAATTATTTGAACAAATTTATTTATTTTTAGAGCCTCTTATTTACTGAAGTCCGAACAATTTTCCTGTATTCTTCAGTTAGCTATAAAAGGACAGTACGATTTGCCGCAGGTTATAAAAAGAGGTTTGATGCATGTGGTGGTGCGGATCGGTTCTGTGGTCTTAGGAACAGATACGGAAGAATACTATTGGTCGCAAACTCTAGAAGCCTGGAAGAACAAATGTCTACAGTTAACTGCTAATGATAACTTTGAATCGTCTTGTCATCAAGAAGAAATTAAAGTTCAAGTTATAGATATACTGGAATCCTTTATAGGTGACTTTTTATACATGTATATATATATATACATGTATGTATATATATAAACGTATCTTTTTAAAATAAAAATGTCTTACTGTCACACACAGGATTAGTCCAAGGCGTAGTGGCTTCATCTATGGAAGTGCCAGTGTTTCGATATACTTCTTCAGTATTACAGATGCTACCGATGTTTATGAAATGCTACCGTAATTATCAAGACGTGGTGCAGTTAATATTAGAACTTCTGTGTGAATACACAAAAAGAATTCTATTTTTCTTATCGAGAGTAAGTCGAATAAAAAGGAATTGCAACGAGTATCCGGCAGATTTGAATAGATGATGGATATCTCATTTTAGGTCAATAGTTGCCTCGTGTACGAAGTTTGCTTGCAAACGATAAAGAGTTACGCTCGGTTCAATTGGCTTACTACGGACTCGACCGCGGAAGAAGATAGTTTTCAAGATATTATACTACTTATGCAATTACTCACAAATTTATTAAGTAAAGATATATGCAATTTTGACCAGGAAGATTCGTTTGCTTCTGTTGAACCCGCCATTGTTTTCTTGGGTGGTTTAGAAATCATCATGCCCATGATAACGACGGACTTGTTGAAGTTTCCGACGCTATGTTCGAAGTAAGTGAGAACGTCGACGCGACATAAATAATTATGAAACTATATTATGAACGTAACATAATGTGTTTTAATGTAAATTTGCATGACTAATATATATCATCATTCAAATAATCAACCGTATATTTACACAATAAATAATGGATATATTTTCTTACAGTGTAGTTTTATTGATATTCGTATCTTTTAAAAATGTTATATTCTATTTTTTATAGATATTTTAAAATGATAGCATTTGCGTGTGACATGTGTCCCCAAAACGTCTGTAGCCTAAATCTCAAGCTATTACAGCCACTTTTGGCGTCAGTTGAATTAGGCGTTTACTCTTTCGGTTATGACGCGGCTGTTATGTCTTGTGATATAATTCAAGCTTTAGCCCAGCACATTTTTAATCAAAAAGATCAACCCCGTGACGAAGTGATGGCGCCTTTTATAAATGTGAGCTTTCTCCAGCAATATTTGAACATACTTTGTAAAATATTTTTAAGATACCGAACCATAAAACCGTGTTTTTGTTTTGTTTTTTTTTTTTTTTTAGGTATTGATAAGCTTAATTTTGTCGCATCAAATGGACTCGGACCTTCTGACGAACGTCAGTACATCTCTTTACTATCTCATATGTTGCTATCCGGGAAAGTACCAGCAAGTCGTGCAAGAAATTTTATCCACGCAGGCTGATCAAGACGTGGCGCAAAAATTAGCAAGCGCGTTCACGGCACTAACAGAGAACGTAGAACTGAATACCGCACGTCCTCAGAGATTAAAATTTAAAGAGAATTTACAGCAATTTATCATAAATGTACAAGGATTTTTACTGGTTAAGTAAAAAGTATAAAACATGTAAATAAAGAGAAAAAATCAAATATATGTACTAAAGATTTATTTTGATTGAGATTGTAAGCACGGAGAGAGATATTATTCCGAGACTTATATATACATATATACATATATATATATATATATATACCGACTCGTATTTCCGTGCATCAACACACATATGGGTATAATATGCATACATTGTAAAAAAGAACTTGTATATTAAGCATATAAGCTTTTTATTGACCGATTTATAATACGTTACCACTTACAATGAGCCCTAGCGAAATTCGAGTTAAATCATAATATTTATATAATAAATTGTAAGTTTAGTACAGCATATATTGATATATGGTTTTTTTTCTTCAATAGCAAACGATCTCGAAAGAAAAGTATTTTGTAATGAATGTTTAATAATTACCTTACAAACGAATACATGAAACTTACATATTTAGTACAGATTGTTTAGCCCTCCCTTAATATATCTCGCGATTAATGATCCTCAACGTTTTTTTTTTTTTTTT